GAAAATGTAAAGTTAGGGACTTTCTACTCCAAAAAATCATACGTATGGACGTTTTCCACACATCCCATCATAGGTAGGTATGTTTTGCGCCAATAACCCTTTTTAAAATAGGCATTAACATAAAATGAACCCCCCAAATGAAATAAAGAAAAATATGGAATAGAAAGAAATTAAGTCGAAGAGGATGAGTGATTTTTGGATTTAGAGCATGTTTATCCAGGATTAAAATCCAATTTTAATTAAAAATATGGTCGTTATTAGGTCTCACTCGTCTAATAAAAGTCAACAATAGCGGATAGTTTTTCAAACCCACTCTTTAAATTAAAATGTTAATTTAAAGAATCACTTGGAGCATAATTTTAAATGTTGACTTTTTAAAATAGAGAACATCTCATTTTTAAAGAGTATTTTGGAGAAGCTCTTAAACATGAAATACTCTTTATTTTAAAGAGTCAACATTTAAAATCATGTTCCAAAAAACTTTTTAAATTAACATTTTAAATATAAAGAACTTGTTGGAGTATTTCAAAATTTTAACTCTCTAAATTTATAGATACTCTCTAAATGATAGAATATGCTCTTTAAAAATAAATAGTCTCTTCGAGATCCTCTTAAACCTATATTTGAGTAAAATGAAGTTTTAAATAATGATTTTTAGAATGATGTGTGACTAAAAAGTAAGAAAAAATTTTAATTTTACGTACATAATATTTTGCCCCTGTTTGGCTCCCATTATATTACATTCCATTACATTAATTTTCTCTCTCTCTTCATCTCAACCATACATTCATCAAATAAAATAATAATACACACAAATCAAAAACTTTTCATCACTTTTCCACCACACATTCTCACATCAATCACTATTCTAAAATTTCTATTCTCCTCAAGAATTATTCTACTCTACCAGATTTTGGTTCACAAATTTTGTACAGACTATCTNCTCTTCATCTCAACCATACATTCATCAAATAAAATAATAATACACACAAATCAAAAACTTTTCAACCACACATCTCCCATCAATCACTATTCTAAAAATTATTTACCCCCCAAAAATTTAATTTAATGGGGGGCAAACAGGGGCTTTATTGTGTAAATGTGAGATTGAAAATGAGTATGTAAAAAAAAAAATTGAAAATAATGACGGTCAAATAGGGGCTAAATATGTAATTTTGGGTTGTCATATGAACAAAAACTTCAATATAGACTTTAAAATTGCATGTTAACTCAAAGTTGAATTGGAATAAAATATTTAAAGGTTTGACAATTCAGCCATCAAACCTAAAGTCCCATTATAGTCACTAGGAACGCGTTCATATATCTAAATGAGCAGGATTCACAATCTCTACCCGAATAAGTTGACATGTGAAATGTTAAATAGCTCAGCCCTGATCTCCTAATTTTTTTGCCTCATCTGCACTACTTGGATATGTGGAATTAGAAATGGTTGTTGACATCGATGTGGTCACTTCACTTGAGAATGTTTTTGTAATCCAGGACACGCTTGGAAAGCTTTTTAACATCTTGGAGTAGACTCAACTCGCACAATTCCGTTTCATGCATGCCATAATTGAACAAATTCATGGCCTTTGGTTGCAGTTCCTTCGGTTAATCTATCTTCAATAATGTTGATTTTACTGGCTAGACTAAACCCCCATGGCTAATTACTACAAAATTTTACAACATGAAACTCAAAACAAAAAAATAATAATAGTCAAAAATGAAGATGGCACTAGGATAATTTACTTGGCAAAAATTGAAATTGGCGTTCTTTCCTGCTAATTACTCAACAATTAATCAGGAAACTCCATCCATTGAATTCTTCATATTTGCACCTCTGCATTCCCCGTCTTTCCGAAGAAATTCACACAAAACATCAATGCCATGTGTAATAAACAAAAAAACTGCACCAATGGAACTCTTCACATTTGCACCTCTGCATACCACTGCCTGAATTCGTGAGAATGCAGCCCTGTCAGAAAGGGAATTCTCGATTATGAGTCCTTTCTTTATAGTTTTGAATGCTAACTTCAAGTTTCGGGGCTGTGCAAGCACTTTCTATTATCTGTTTACATAAAAACTCTTGGACCAAAAAGCATTGATAAAGAGTTGGGCAACAAAGAAGGATCTGAAAAAATTGGAATCTACGATGGAGTGAGATACAATTAAAGCTTGATGAGCTAAAATATATACACAGGGCTGATAAGAGGACATGTTAAGGCATATCACAATCATTTCAAACAAAAGACTAAAGTTAAGCATGGCATCACAACAGATCACAGAAGCAAGAACCTAAAATGCATAATAAGCACCTTTATAATAAAATCCCAAGATAAAACTTGTAAAAGCCAAAAGTTGAAGTAAACATGGCATCACATAGTCAATAATCAAATATGCATATCAAGCAAATATGTTCCGGTGACTCATTTAAAACAGATCACAAGATTTGGGAGCCTTTCATTACATTCAAGACCAAAAAGACTAGTTCATGCTTGGCTAAGTATCCCTTACGACATAGGGCTACCCATGTTTGAGGGATACTCGGCACCAAATAATGCCCATACAAGAATATAATTAATTATATACAAAATTATGCCAGAGAAGGTGAACTATAAATTTTGCAAAACCACTTTTACCCTCCTTTTACTACATGGAGAGTGTTCACACAAGTTACTATAGATTTGGGGAAAGCCCGCGCATCCATCATCGCCATAGTACAATGAAATAGGCTCCGATGGCGGGCAGTCTTCATCGCAGTACAAGCTGTGAAAGGGGGCTCCGGGGAAGACCGAGTCAACGAATTATGAAGAAATCCGAGCCTCCGGCAGCCTCCGCGATTAGTTTAGCGTGGTGGGTGGCATCTTATTCTAACAATCTTCCCAGGCGCCTCCGCCTCCACCGCCGCCTGCTCAGATAAGATCAAGTAGTGCGTTAGAAACCCTCTCTTTGCCTTTTGCATCATTATATAAAGTCTCATTATAGTTGAATTCCTATTATACCCCTCTTTGTCAGTTTCTATTTTGTAGTTTCGATCTCTAATTGAGTGATTCTCAGGGGTATAAACGTAACAAACTGGTGAAGTCTCACAGAGAAAAGTTCAAACCCTAATCATCGAATCCTCTTTTTACTCTCTCTGGATTGCTTCTCTGCTGTCTCGGTTCTTTGTGTTCGGAAGGTAATTTATAATTTTTTTTTTCTTCATCTGAGATTATGATGCTGTCATCAAGATTTTTGCTGCTAAAATGATTGTGTATTGATCACAATATCCTTATGCTTCAATTAAATTCCCACGATACCCTAACATACTTGGATTTGCAATTAGCAACGAACTCTGATGATTTTCTATTTTTTCTCACAAAGATGGATTCAAGAGTGTGGCACTACTGTTAGAAGTAAAAAGTTGACAACTTTTTGATGTCCACCGAGTTGTCCATGTAAATTTGTATGCGTAAATGATTCTGGGTGGATGTGGCAGTTAGATTTTGCATCTTCAGGTTCTTTGGGGTTGATTATGTGAATCTCATGAATTCTTGAAAACGGGATTTGGCTTATAGTGGCATTTTCTTGCACTTCTGTTAATGTATTTAATTGTTAGATCAAATGAAGCGCGCAGTTAAACTTTTGAGTGAAAATAATAAACGTTGAAGTTGACTGGTTTGCAAATTTTTGAACTTTCACCTTTATTAAATCGTTATTATTTTTTCATTTTTCCCAGCACCAGCTCTATTTTTCTTGATGATTGTTACTTCTCGTGACATTGTTGTATGAAGACATCTCACTGTCATGTTTATTGAGCATTTTCCATTTTCAGGTTGTTGATAATGGCAGAGCCTTCAAAAGTCATTCATGTTCGTAATGTCGGACATGAAATTTCGGAGGTAAAATACCTGTATCTGTCTTTGCGTGTATGATTCATCTAGAAATTGCTTTCATATTTTGTAGTGCTTAGGTAATACGTGTCTGGAAAAATTTTCATCTTTCTGTACATTCTTATATTTTCCATAGATACTGAAAGTAAATGAAGTTACTGTAAATGGATTTGAGTCTTTGTGATTCATTATACATATCATCTCTGGCTTAGTTCGTCAATGTTGTATAATATGTTCATTCAGTAGCTCCTACTATAAGGAGTATAAAAACTATTTGTGCATCTCTAATTGTTTTATAGATTTCTCTCTCTCAAAATCCAAATCTATTTGGCCAGGTTAACTTCAATTTTGTACATTTGAGTTTTAGATTAATGATGTGCCTTTGATTAAAGAATTTGTTGAATAATTCTACAATCTTTGTGTGGTCAGTGGCCTCATTGCTATGAAGCAAAAAATGTTTAATTTGTATTCTTAGTGCACTTGACTTGATTTTCAATTTTTTTTTTTTGGTCTGAGACATCTTGTAAAGAACTTTCTTAATTATACAATTTCTTATATGTTTTTAATGTTCTCACTCCACCACTGTGTTTCCTTATTTGGTGGCTTCTATCCTTAGATTCTCTTAATAGCTTAGTTAATAGGTTCTTAGTGCAACTAATACCCCTATTCCACATCAAGTTACTCTTTTTATTTATTTTTAAAGTTACTTGCATTTCACCATATAGGTTACCAGCTTGTTATGTGGATACGGACTTTTTTCGTTTCTCTTTTCAATTTTAATGACACATCAAGAATCATAAACCTGCGTTATGGGGTCAGGCGCTAGGAATAAGTTTACCTAATCTATTGTCACTTCATGTAAGCACTTCTTAAAGTTAGTGTCCATCCCACATCCTGCATCCACCATTCCTTTCCATCCCACCATTTCTAACAAGAATGTCTTCAGCACCAGTTACAACTTCTCTTTTATTGAAGCATATTGAAGTAATACCAAAATCATGAGTCATTCCAAAGTGCAAAATGAGAGTTGCCTCTTCAATTCAATTTCCAAATCCAAAATTCTTCATTTGCTTTATCATAGTCCGAGTTTGTTCCCATACATGACCATTCAAAACTCCTCTAATAAAGATTTTATTTGGAATGGGTATTAGCTAAATTAATAATCAATGTCTTCCTATATCTTATATAATTTTATGTTTGGAAATACATGCAAGTGATATTAATAAATTATTCTTCTAACATGTGTCAAATTTAGAATCCTTATTCCTATCTCAAACCTGTTTAACTTCTACCATGTGATGTTTTTATACTCGTCTTACCCTTGAATTTATTATCGTTTTTCCATATATTGTAAGTAATACGTTATTCAAATGAGATAACTGATTTGCACTAATTGAATGCTGCCTGTTACCCAATCAATACTTCTATCTTTGTTGTGCTATGATGACAAGAAAAAATTTAGTTGTGTATGATTCAATTGTTTGAAGAAGCATCATCCAAAAAGTCTGGAATATTTTTGTCGGTTCATCCATTTTTAGCAACATCTTGTTATTATATCTCCATTAAAGCGATCACTGAGTTTGAGAACCTTGATGCCGTAATTGATGTAGGTATCGTAATTCTAAGCTTTTGATAACATGTATTGCTCTCCATTACATTTTTTAAATAAAGTATCTCCTACTTACCATTCTATATTTTTTTTCCCCTCAGAACGACTTGCTTCAGCTATTCCAGCCATTTGGAGTCATCACGAAGCTTGTAATGCTTCGAGCCAAGAATCAGGTTTTTAATAAACATATGGGCTGTGAACCTTTACTTATGGTTTTTAGAAGTTATTTATTTTTGATATTTCCATTCTTTCCTACATGTCAGGCCCTCCTCCAAATGCAAGATGTTCCTTCCGCTGTTAATGCATTGCAGTTCTACACAAATGTTCAACCCAGCATTAGGTATCACAACAGATAAATACTAATTTTCCTAATTGCATGGGAAACTCCATGATGAGGCTTTTTTCGTATTCTTGTGTTTCCTGACTTGCGTAGTTTATTTTAATGACTTCCATATTGATTGCTTATAGGGGAAGAAACATTTACATTCAGTTTTCATCACATCAAGAACTAACTACCATGGATCAGAATACTCAAGGACGAGGAGATGAGGTTAGTGTTGCGTTATCTGGGACAAGTTTCCTTGGACTTATTGCTTCTGATGTTGTGATCAAGTGCATTAAAGTCCCCAGCTGCATGTTGTCTTTCTATTAGTTAAGTTTCGCATCATACTCGTCGGTGTTGGTGAATGAGTAGCACCCCCTTACCTGGAGATTCATGGACAAAAGTAAAAACAGATTGAAAAGATTATCTGGTGACATTGTATGGCTACTTCTATTAAAAAATGGAGATGTTACTTAGATCCTCGTTGACTTCTTCAAAATTGCTTGTATATTGGATGTCTAGATTCTTGTGGGACACCCGTCTGTGACCTTTTGTACACTTACAGGATAGAAGATGAGCTGGTATATCTTTTAAGATTTTATGCTTGCAAAATAAAATGATGACTTATGATGAAAGATAAAATAAACCCTTGGTTCAGAATGCTGACTGGTTTAATCATCTTTTGGGTATCTAATGCTGTCTACACTACTGGAGGGGGTCTGATTTAGGGTTTGAGAGCATTAGGCAAAGCTGTCCAGCAGCTCAAGGGTAACAGTTGTTGGCCATTTATCAAGCTCTGAAATCACACCTAGGTGACAATTGGCTCCCCTTCGGAATTGGAATGGGGTAAGCTCAAATCGAGATTAGGAAACACCGTATTCTTTTCAGTTCAACAAGGAATCTGAACCAAAATCATGTACCTTTAACAATTATACTGATGGATTGAAATTGCAGAATTTTTTTTTTTTCCTCATTTCTTAAAGCAACTCTATAATAAGGCAACCTGCTAGACATATTTAAATAAAAAAATAAGTTGACCCAAGATGAATAAAAGGTATAAAAATGTGTCCATATTGTAGTCAAGAGAAAAATAACATTATGAGGATTCAGTTTTGGAGGTTCCAGCTAGAAGAGAACCGGGAACAAAGATATAACACCGACATGGTATTAGAAGTCGAAATAAATTAGAAATAGCACTTCATCTGAAGCTTTTTAGAACAATAAAAAAATTGATAAGATAGAAAGAAAAATAGAAAAAATCGAAAGGCGAAAAAGGAACTAGTACCCAAATTCTTCTTTTTCCCTTCCTCACCTGACTCGGTTTTCCGCCTAGCCTACCTTACGACCCCATCCTGCTCCTTCATCATCTTCTCTTAAACCTTCCAACTCCTTACTTGCTCTTCACTTTTCCCAACCCTATCCGAGTGCATGTCCCTTTCCCCATAAACCTTTGACACACTTAACCGGTAAACAATCACTTTCTCATTCAAAAACTTAAGCACAAGTTTGACAATTAGAATACATAGTATTTAAACTTCAAGAAGATCTTTCTCTGTAATCACCATGTGATTGAAATATTTGACCAATATGAATGCAAATATATTGCCAATATTTTCCTATGGAGAATGTAAGTGTTTGAATGTTGATTTGTGTGTTTCTGTGGAGAAGGGATGGTGGCTGTGGTAGTTCAGGCTTATGGCTGTGCGCGTTAAATTCTGGTTTTATACAACCATGTTTGTGTTGGTGTTGGTGTTGGTGTTGGGTTGGGTTGGGAGGTGGAGCCGTGGAGGGGCCTGGTCAGCTTCCTCTCTTGCCAGCAGCAGTAACCAGGGAAGCTTGTGTATCGCTGTGTGTTTAATTGGAGTGTGGTGGACTTTTAGGTACAGTTGTTGGTCTTGGTTCCAGGAGTAAAATGGGAGGCAGAAACTGAACAAAATTTTAATCATGGTCATGATACAGGCCATTGACCGTTTGAAAACCCGCGAGTGAATGGGATCGTGATCAAGTAATATAGATATAGTAGTGTGTAAAGTGTCGAACCCACGAGGACTACGTGTTTTATCGAGTTAAAGTTAATAATACCCTTAATCGAATAGTAATAATAATTTGTAATAAATCTATGTCTAATTTATTAGGTACTATAAATCAAAGTAAAAATTTATCAAATTTTTGAGATGCATTGCTAAGATATAGAATTCCCCTTGTTAATCCATTTTTAGTATAACAATTAAAATGACTTTTTGTTATCATGCGAGTTGGTCGAAATTCCAAATTCATTTAAAAGTCTCTCTCGATAGTAATTAAATCTAATCCTATACGTGACCTTTCTATATCTTTATAAAAGATACTACTACCTCCGTCCCATATATATAGGCTTGTTTCATTTTTCACACGGATTAAGAAATCTTATTTAATGTTATTTGAAAAGCAATTTTTATCAAGAACTTTCAAAGTTTATCCCTATTTAATTTTCAACAACTAGAAGTAAATTATTGTTGGAATTAGTAATTAGGCAAATTAAATAAGGGTAAATTAGTANAATTAAAAAACAAGCCTATATATTTGGGACAAGAAAAAAAGGAAACTCAGCCTATATATATGGGACGGAGGGAGTAACATATAAGAAAGCATTAAATGAGTTAGAACATCTAAAAAAAATCATGCAAAGCATAGAGGTATATCTCTATCCTCTATCGAACCTCACAATACTTATTACTATATGCTAACAATTCTATTGTCTCTCTCGAATAAAATCTACAAATAATTCAACTGATGACCAATTAATTGAAAAACATACTAAATCATAATAAACATCCACGCATTCAAACAAATTAACGTTAAAATAATTAAGTAATACTAAAATTTTTAAAACAAATGGTTCATCTATATCTTTAGCAATGTAAAAATCTAGCCTAGCATAATATTGAAATTAAATACACAAAAGTGGAACGACATCAACAGAAATTGACCAAACGTGAACAAATCTTGAATTAATTGAAGCTGCATTTTTCTTCAATTCCAAGTCTCTCTTTGCATGAATTAATTTATATAATATATATTCCCAACTGTTCTCCTGTGTATATACTTGTGGCTTTCCCATTTCCTGCTTCAAATTTCTGTGTGTACATATATAACAAACCTCCACTTTGCACATTATATTATGTTTTCTTCTCTTTTCAGCAGCACCACCATTTTTTTTCTTTTGTATCCCTCCCCTTCTTCTTGGCTGTCGTGTATATAAATATATATCTAAAACCTAATTTTTTTAACCCAACAAAAATCCATCCAAATTGAGGCCCAATTAATTAATGTTTGCTTTTCAAATCCTTAACTCTTTCACGTAATGCAAGTTAGTCCTTGTACTTTGGATTTTGCTATTTTTCGTCACTTTTTACTTCCTTCCTTCAATTCGTTTTCCATTCAAAGAATTTCACGTATTAAACATAAAATGCAACAATTTAGAATATATTTTGTCAAAAGAACTATCAAATGTCGTTATTTTAGGTCCCGAATAAATGTAAAAAATTACACTTATCAGCCAGCCCCGGCGAAACTTAAAAGAATTGAAATGGTCCATTCTGAAAATTCTTGGCCACCCTCTCTCTCTCAAATTCAAACAAACCTTTAATGTAGTGGAGGGTAAGAATGGCTCTCTTTTAAACATTGTTTCTAATGGATGCATGGCTTGTATAAAATAACAATGCATTAAAAGGTGTAGTTGGAATTCCATTTATGCAAGAAAATGCTCATTATTATGGTTTAGGTGATGGGTTGGCATATTTGAGTCACAAATTATGGGCATATTACTCTTAATATAAAGGTAATGGAGATCGATTTGTGCATCTAATATGATTTCTAAAGAATAAAACTTTTGCACAGGATTAAGCAAACATAGAGATCCCGGTGTTATGTATGCGTTAGGACATTGGGGTTGGTTGGTTGGGATATTAGATATTGGATATTGTTTTAAATAAAGCAATTGGGCAGAGACTTCAGAAACAGTCCTTGATATGATAATAATCGACTGGCATGATTACTGATAGATTTACATTGTGAAATTTCCATAGCAACTAGTTTTTGGTAGTCTAAAACTAAAACCTTGGAATTCTACTGAGTATACTGCATGGCTGATTTATTTTGCCAATGGCATACCTTTGCATTAACTGGAATTCTTGGAATACATACTATTTGGAAGCAAAAAATTTTTGTCGTAATGTTGAGGCAAGTATTTTATTAGCCACAACAACCGGCAGGGAGAACCGTTTCTCACCATGGCGATGACTATACTCAACTATCATATGCATACTAATGACCTTCAGTGGATTCTATCTTGTACATAATAAATTCTGATTTCCCCCTTTTTTTCTTTTTATTTGCTTCATCAGGTTTTCGTTAAAATTTCAGCAGTGCATATAATTTTTAACAAAAATATTTTTGTTAAGGTTTTTCTTTGATTCCTTATTTCTTCTATTTTTCTTATTTTCCGGGGGATAGGAGGAGATGTTGGTCTTGCAGAGGACTAAATTATGAATTTCAGGGTACTGATTCTGGATAAATGGAAATAGTGTCTAGTCCATGAACACATATTGTTTGTTCTTCACTCGAGATCTCTCATTGTCATGAAAAACTCTATTGGATAAGTTTGCTGTGGACTGGAAATCTTTCTTGATGGCTTGAATAGGATATTTTGGAGCCCTTCTAGTCCTGTTACTTGTTGGGTGTCTGAGATCACCTACTGCTGTTTTTCCCGTGTCCTTTTTTTTTGGAACCTGAATGGGGGTTTATTATATGCACATTTTGATGCAGATTGGGCTCAAGGTAGTGATAGATTATCATTTACCATGGTCATCAGTATAAAAGGACTAACTTTTATGTGTGTCTAAAATTTTTGACTGCTTGTTCTCTGTATGATTATGTTGAGTAATAATTTTTCTAGTACTATTATCCGTTTCTTTCTCCTTTTCTCTGTCTATATTCTGCTCTATTCATTCCCTTCTCTTCTCTCTCTTGTTTCTATGCTGGTCTGCTGTTGGGCTCTTCTCTCTGTTCTGTCTCTATGCTGGTCTGCTGTTGGGTTCTCTCTGGATACACAGCCTAATCGAATTCTTTTAGTTACAATACATCACATGCTATATCCTATAACTGTGGAAGTGCTGCATCAAGTTTTTTCTCCTCATGGGTTTGTGGAGAAGATTGTCACGTTTCAGAAGTCGGCTGGTCAGCATCTCAAAATTTTCTCTTTCTCACATTCTTAATTTCATTTGATTTGGATGCATGCAATTGTCTAATTTTAGTTTGGTGTGCGAGGAAACACTTCTATTGCTTATTTGTATTTTTCACTTGCATGAAGAATTGATCTAACGTTGGGATTTGATATATAAACATTTCCTATTTCTTATGCTTGGAGTGTTAGATACTAATTTAACCTTTTGCCCCTACATGGTGCATTCTTAGTCCCTAGTTTCGTTTAATTATATATGTTAGTTTATGAGATTTTTCTAATTCTGCCAATTTTGTAGGCTTTCAAGCTTTAATTCAGTATCAATTACATCAGAGTGCTATTTCTGCAAGGAACTCTCTTCAGGTATTCTGTCTGTTATATTCTACTGACATGGATTGTATTGGCTTACACTTGACCCAAAAAAGGATGTTTGTCACTAGTAACTTCTTTATAGGGACGGAATATATACGATGGTTGCTGTCAGCTGGACATTCAATTCTCAAAGTAAGTCCATTTCCATCAGCTGGACGGTGTTTTGGATCTTTGTGTTTTTGGTGCATGCTTGGGCTGATGTATTTGTTTCCACGATTTTATGCTGTATTAGAAACTTACTATGTTACTTTCATGATCCAGCCTAGATGAATTGCAAGTGAACTACAATAATGAACGCTCTAGGTAGGTTGGTCAGTTACTGTTGTGTCATTTGTTTTTGTGGGTAATTCTGCTGCTATTTAGACTGCTTATTCTGTTCTTTGAACAGGGATTTCACGAACCCCTCTTTGCCTTCAGAACAGAAGGGAAGATCTTCTCAAGTAAATCCATACTCCTCTGGTTGTGCTTTTCAAGCCATACAACTTTTTTACATTCATTCTGCTTTCTGATATAGAAATTCTCTATTTTCCCCATTTTATGTGCCAGACTGGATATGGAGACGGAGACATGTATGCCCATGCAGGTGCATAATTGATTTTATTGATACTTCTTGTTAGCAATAGTTTGTTATTTTCCTTATCCTTCACATTTTCTGATGTCTTCTTTCCTTTTTTTCACCCTTCCCTTTTCAGCTGGATTTCCACAGGTGAGTACTGGATTGATCATCTTACGGCATAACAGATATATTCAAACATATTTCAAGTGGTCTTTATCACCCTTCACAGCTTTTCTTGTCTACTAATTAGTAGACATTAACACAGTGGCACTTTTAAATGTCTGATGCTGGTCAGGCTGGTTTCTCTATTAATGGTAGTGAGAAAAATGGTTCCATTTATCTATAAAAGCAAAACTCATTTACAGCAAACTTTGAGCTAATTTCCAACTGGTGGGTCAGAAAAGAAAGAAAAATGGGAAATTTCTATGTAAATTGCACGTGTCAACATGTATATATGGAACCATTTGGTGAGGATGTTAGTTGTGCTGGATCTTTGTTTATTGTGCTGTCTTAAAATGTAGATGGGCAATGCTGCTGCTATTGCTGCTGCCTTTGGAAATGGTTTGCCACCTGGGATAACTGGTACAAATGACAGGTGCACAGTTCTTGTATCTAATCTGAATTCTGATGTAAGTTTCCATCTATCGTTACTATTCTCGTAAGTTTCTATTGTGTTATATAGTCCAGCCATCATCCTGGTAAATACCTTCTTTTTTGCAGAGAATAGATGAAGACAAGCTTTTTAATCTGTTCTCAATATATGGAAATATTGTTAGAATCAAACTTCTCCGAAATAAACCAGATCATGCATTAGTTCAGATGGGTGATGGCTTTCAAGCTGAATTGGCTGTGCACTTTTTGAAGGTCTGCATAATTCTTTCTAAATTTTTATGTTTTCTGGTTAGATTGCTACATATATGCCTTTGGTTTTTCCGTTGAGTGAGCTGAGCCTTTTTTAACTAAGCTCTTGTTTGATACCCATTATTTTCAAAATATATTTTTCTCTCTTCTTTTTATCCACACATTTTTCAATAAAATTACACACAAACCTAAAATTTTTTCTTAATTTTTAACCACACACTCTCCATCAATTTATTATTTCAAAACGCATTCTTAGAATAAAAATGGGGCTCAACCATCCACTAAATATCCGCTCATGAAAGCTTGGGGATAGGAATTTGTGTTGGCGGTAGCAACAGTTTTTTTAGTTATTTTTTCTTAGTCAGCAAAAAAAAAAAAAAAAAAAAAAAAA